TATTATTTTTTATAATCAAAATTTATATATAAAATAAAAATTACTATGGATTATGCGAAACACCATTAGTAGTAATGTATGTTTTGTTTTGAGGGGGAAAAAACAAAAAATGAAGCGGCGGCCGCCGGAACCGTTAAATACTGTTAAAATATTGTTGGTTTAAAAACAAAAACGTCATTGTCAGAAGTGGGATTCGAACCCACGCCTACAGAGTAGACTGCGACCTGAACGCAGCGCCTTAGACCACTCGGCCATCCTGACTCGCGCTGGCTCTTGTCAAAACCCGTTTATAAACAGCAATTCGTACTAAATTTGAAAAAATATATATAGTTGAGATTATTTTAAATACAATTTATTGCTATTTATTAATTTATAATCGAACGTCTTGTGGAATATGTACGTATACAATTATAGAATGCCAGATAATAACACACGGCAATTTCATTTGAAAATTGCATAAACTTAATAACACACTCTTAATAAAACTATCTACAATATCTATTAACTAGAGTTTAATATGAAACCAAACCAAAACGAAAAAAGGAAAGAAGAAATGATTTCAAATAATTTTTATTTATTTCACTTATAAGATAGTTGGTGTTCATTTGAGCGGTATGAATTTACATTTGAATAAGCTTGGTTTAAAACATCAAAACTAAACTTTAATGTCGGCTAACTAATGGTGCATCGAGCTTTATCACCTATGTGTGAATACTTATTAACTATCATTATGTCAAGTAAAACAGTTTACAAGATAAAACAATCCTTGGCAAAATAATTCAACAATTTTATAATTTGATTTGTGTTTAAAAAATGGAGACATTGCCCTAAGTTCTCCAAGTGGGGATATAAACGAGAAGAAAATGGGAATAAATGTAGGCCTTAAATAAAGGGTAATAATTATGTACGATCGCTCTCTTTCGGTCTCTTAATCTTTTTGTAGTTATTGCTGTTGTTATTATTATTGTTGTGTTTGTTGTTATTAAGCTTTGAAACTGATATTGTCTTTAACAACCAGCTAAGCATAAAAGCGTTCACAACAAACCATCGATTGTTTGTTAACTGTTTAAAAAAAAAACATCAGCAAATGCAAGTCGAGAGTCAAGTAAAAGCAGTGAAACGTTACAGAACTATCGAGCGGATGAGAAAATTTTTTATTTGTGTGAAAAGAAAAATTATAACAAGCGAAAAAAAAATACCATTATAATTACTATAAATAAATAGAAAATATAAAAGAAAAATTTCAAAAATATATTTATAATAATAAAAAAACTTTTTTATAAATTATTTATAACATTTTATACAAGTGGTTAAAAAGTGTTTTATATAAAATTCTTTCAAGGCTAAGCTTCAGTTTTTTGTACGAAAAAAAGTATTTTTTTTTTCTCAACGAATACGATTAAAATGAGAACTGCTACAAATGAGGTGAGTTTAAATTAAAAACAAAAAAAAAAAAGAGAAAAAAAAATTGAGAAAATTGTAAAGGGTCTACTATTTCTTCGGTCACATTTTTTCTCGATAAAATATTTGCAGAGTAAAAGGATTAAATTCAATCGCCGCGTAAGAGACAAAAAGAAAGTTAGGCTTGCAATACAAACACTCTAAATTTTATATGGCTACAAGCGCTTGTACTTACTGTAAATGATTTGCGTATATCTCAACATAGACGAGAAAACGAAAAGAGGGGAAAAAGAAATGTGATGCAATTATTTTAATTAATTTTTGAATTTTGGAAATTTTTTAATACAACAACAACAACAACACCGTACGTATGCGTGTGTAGTTCAATTGTAAAATGCCGCTATATACGGAAATATAAATTACCACACCTATTATCGTTGTTGTTTACTTTGCTACGCGCTGAATTTAAAGGAATATACACATGTTTATAAAATAATCAGAGAAACAAAAATTGACATATACCAGTTGTCAGTTATCGCTTTCTGTTGTTATCAATAAAACCTTGAGCACCAATGCACCGGTGATTTTTACGTGTTTTGATAAACCAACAATCAATATATTCAATAGAAAAATATCGGCACTAACATTCGCTAAATGTAAACGTATACCATTATGTATATGTATGTATGTATGTAGCTTTTTATTGCCATAAATCGCTGGCAGTATATAAAAATTTTATCAGAGCGCTTGTAACACCCACAAATTTCGATCGTAAGGCCGGCCAATCAAATGAACATATTTCTAATCAGCGTAACAACACGAGATAACGAACCGAGTTAAATAACTGCCATCACCTTTGTATTGTTAGCAATCTCTTAATAATTAATTATAATAAATATGTCGATTTCTAGAGTCTGTTTCGCAGCAATCTGCCGGCAATCTGTGCTAGGAAATCGAAAATTTGTATAAATTTTCCGTAATATTATAAATGATCGGTTAAGGAAGATATCGCTTGTACATCTTTAGGAAAGTCTAGCGTGGTAATGGCTTCGATCAACCCATTTGCACACAGATGCTTTCATCATCGTTTCTCAATCAAGCGGATTATAGTGATAGAAAGATTAAAAAGAAAAAAAAAAAATGCTTCGGTTCTTAAGTTACATTGATTTCCGTTAAAGAAATTTGTTCTTAGAGAATTGCAAAAAGCTTCAGTTACAAATAAACGATTATAGAAACGCGACAGAAATTCTTATTAATTCTTCTTTTGCTTTGCTAGCTTTCTTTATCTCTCTCGCCTTCTTCATATTCTTCGTTCTCAATTTCTATATTGTATATAAAAAATGATTCGAAATGAGGTGATGCTTGAAAGTTTCTCATAAAACAAATTTTCTTATTACCGTAGTAGCTGACCGTCGTTTCGAATCGTACGTTTTTCGCACTTGATGACATTTAAGCTATTTGTGATATTTATGTATAGATATGTAATGTACATCGAAGAAATATATGCCGCAGACGTTGCTGCATTGCGTTTACCCAAATTAAAAATAATTACTTTTGAATGCTGATTTATATTTATATGCATATATATAGAACAATCATGTTAATCCTGCCTATTTTCTTTTGGAAGCCTCTTACCTATAATTCAAGACAAGAAGAGAAATGTTATCTTCCTCGCAAAACTTATACCGGCGTAAATATGCTGCATTATTTAAAAAGATCTCTTTATCTAGGTATTCACTCTGTGGAGATCATCTGAATTTTATAGCGCAAGATTTCATTTTTCTATACATGTTTTCAATTTTTCGATGATGGCTTCGGCCTTTCACTCACTCTTTCAATGTCAATTAAGAGGAAATTTTGCATTGCTATACCGATTTCTTATAAACGCACTAAGCTGGAGAATGTGTGCTTTAGAGAGAATTCGATGCTTACTTTTTGTTACGAATGAGATCACAGTGTTAATATATTCTTTTGTCGTTCAGAAAAAAACGTCAAGGTCAATGCTTTATGATTCACGAAAGTTATTATTAGGCGTAAAATTTTTCACTAAAGCGATCACGTTTTTCTTCAGAACTAATTTATTATTATTTACTTTTTACACTTAACACCGTTTGGGATAAGCGTACATTAAGTTTTGCCATACGTTTGCAATCATGTCCACAAGGACCAGATACGTGGACTTATTTGACATCGAAAAATTCTAGGAGACATTGAAAATGCTTTAGACGAACGCCCAAAATTTGATTGCACAATGAAAACAAATCGGGTAAAGATAATTTTGAATTTTGTTTTTTTTTTTTTTTTTTGGTTTCTCGACGAAATCTAGTAAAAATTGTTGTATTGTAACATATTAAACGAATATAGAAAATTTGTGAATCTACTGCCGCCATATACGAAATTTGACTAACTTGGTCTACTTTTCAGACGCTTGGCTGCCTCAATAAAGTTATTTTATTTATTTATTTTTTTTTAGTATAAGTAAGAAAAGTAAGAAAGAACTTTTGAGGTTTTAAAGAGTAAAGGAAGTAAAGTGAATTGTGTTGGAGAGAAAGAGGGAGAGAGGGAATGAGAGTGTACGGCTTGTATATAATACAGTCGGTCTTGGCCAACTATAACGTTTTAATTTATTTAATTTTAGTTATTTAAATTGCTTTAACAGACAGCTCTGAGAATAGTTTCAGAATAACTTAGTTTTCAAAGCAAACACATGGTACGGAACATAGCAATTGTAACAATTTATCATAATATTTTGCCATATAGAAGTACGATTAACTTTCAGTGACTTTTGGAGGTTACAATTATCCAACAAAATAGTAATGATAATAAAAATAAACAAAATTTAAATTCATAGGGAAAAGTAATAGGAATTAATCGGAATGAATGCGATGGGAAAGAATTTTGCATATTTGTCTTACAAGAAAATCAGAAGATAAGCGATGTTTTAAATGAAAGAGTTCTTCTTTTTTAGAGGTCATTAAAAAATCAGAACAATGTCATCATCATCATAATCATCATCGTTAGGGTCACAGATTTGCTATTAGCTTGAAATGTGGAGGCAATGAAGTACCGAACCGCTTTAATTTGTCTTGCTGAGAATAGCGAAACAGAAGAAGAAAACTTGAATTTCTGATTAAAACAATAATTTCAAATGCGTGTTCGCCCCTCGCACACATATATATATATATATATATATATATATATATTAATAATGACAAGATAGTACTGATTAAACTACCGTTGCATTAATAATAAAAAACACTTTTCTAATAATGAACAAAACTATAAAATTTTTCCAAAGTGCGCGTCGTGCTGCCTGAAATATTTCCGGTTATGAATGACTATTTCTCGATTTTACATATACTCTCTTCAATGCCTGCGTATTGTTGTTTATATGCAATCTTTCGATGTCGTCGTCGTCATCGATATTTCACTTTCCTTTGCAACAGGTTTCATTATGTTCAAACCGTTAGATTCGCATTACATTGTACATTTTACTATTAAGCGCTCTCAGTTTACTACTTCAACTCCCTACCAATAGCCTTTAGATGTTTTTCTGAAAAAACTTGATCTCTTTTTCTCATAAAAACAACGAGTTTTTTAAAATTTTTTTTTTTTTAATTTCTTATTTTAAATTCAAGATTAATGCTAGTAGTGTCTACTTTAGAGCTGTGCTAAGAATAAATGGTTTTTTACTTTCTTTCAGTCAGTCAGTCAGTCAGTCAGTCTCTAATGTACGTTCAATGAATAGTTTATGGCACAAAGAAATTTTATTTTCGAAAGATTTTTCTCACTTTCCAACAACCACATGAACAGTAAGCGACAGCTAGGGTCTAAAAAGAAAAGACGCACACATAATGGGTCCTGTAAAAAGCCTTTGCGGGTTTTTCCGCGATTTCGAGCTACTTTTTGTAGTTTGCTTTTTTCAAATGATTTCAAACTGTCATGATGGTTAATGTTTAGTACCTCCCATATTACTGACTCCAAGCGTTGCAAAGTTTCATCAACTTTTTCGACCAGAGCGTAGTGCTTCTTTGAAAAGCATCAAATAAGAATTCGAAAACTGTCTTCACAAAAAATGTGAGCTGAAATGTCACCTTTTAAGCACACGTTCGTTTAAGACAATCAGACTGATACGCAGGCATTAAGACCATCCCGCGGAAATTATCGCAATGACTTTTTGTATGCCCTAATATTAAACATAAACAAAGACTTTTGAAATTTTTCTCAACCATTCAGAAATACGGCTCAATGTACGAGAATGTGGTGAGATGTGTGTAAATGATGTTTTGTTGTTGTTAAGACTTTCAAATTTTTTACCACTTTTTCAAATGGAAAAGCGATGCTAGGCCAGAAAGATTGGTCGCTAAATATGGGCAGAAGGTTGTTGCGTTCAATTTTATGAGAAGTGAATTTTTAGGAAAGCTTTCATGAATCGCTCGGTCTTAATATATTATTATGAAGAAAGCAGCTATTGAACCCTAATGATGATGATTATGAGGCGAAGGGCGAATTGAAATGTTCAGTGAATGAAAAGTTCCGACTGTTGGAAAACATACGAAAAAAGCAAAGAGCGAGTGGATCGTGAATTTTCGGTAAAAAAAACTTTCTAATTTAATTATATTTCTTTTAATCGTCGAAAAAATTTCGAAAAATTAAAGTTTTTTTTTTATTTTTTTAAGCAATTTATTTTTATGGCATACTTCTTAAAAATATTTAAGAGTTTTAAATCTAAGCGATGAAATAGTAAAGAGCTGCTAACTTAAATTACCCTGATTCCAAGTTTATTGTTACGGTCATGATTTAAACAAATAGCAAAGAGAAAGCAAGAAAAAGAAGACGAGACACAGACACTAAGGAAAATATTAGATTTCTCATGCATAAGAAAAAACAAAAAAAAAAACATGGAAAATCCCGTTAATTATTTAATTTGTGTGACTAACGGCATCTATATGGTATTCGTCTAAAATTTAAATACAATACAATGAAGTCGACATAATTCTGTGTGCAAGCATACCATAAAATTG